CACAGTGAATTCCAGATCTAGTTTCTTTTCCTGCGATAATTTGTTTTTTTTAAATTATTCTTTTTTATTGTAGATGGACACAGTATATTTTATTTATTTTTATGTGGAGCTAAGGATTGAACCCAGAGCCTCACATGTGCTAAGCAAGTGCTCTACCCCTGAGCTACAACCCCAGTCCCTCTGATAATTTATTTTTAAGATGAATCTAGATAAAAGCATTTTCCAATCTCAGTTTGCTCTTTCAGCCAAATCTTACATTATTAGTTTAGATACTTACTCAGTAAATTCTTTGTTGTCTAACCACAGGCGCGGTCACACCCATCTTGGTTGCGTCCAAGTAAGAAACCAGGCATACTCTGAGATGCTGTCACAGATGGACATGTCATTATTTTTCCCAGAAAGAACACTAAAGAAATCATTAAAAGAAATATGCATCAAATTCCTGACAAGAGCAAAAGAAGCCATATCTTTAATAACATGTTACTTTAGATAAAGTTTAGCACTTGATTTCTTTTAAAGCATTTTTATCGCGGGTAACTTTTTAAGATGGAAGTTTCAAAAGAGTTTTTAGGTGGGCCAACAAGAGGGGGATCTGATGCAACTGGCTGCTCAGCAGAGCAGTGTCACAAGGGTGAAATGTTTTCCCATTATGCAGGGTGGCAGCCTCAAATTCTTGATTCTCCTGTCCCCTACCTCTGAATTTCACAGGCCTCCTCATCACCAAACCCCATAAGCGTCCTAATCATTGACATAACATGTTCCCACTCATGGGCCCCCATTCTCTGATCCCCAGAGATTCTTGCAGTTACTGATATTCCCATATGTCCAAATCTGACCACAAAACTGTGGTCAGAGACTACAAAGTTCACTGATACAATCCGTTTGCCAAACAGCAAATTACACAGATCCCAATTATGAGCCCACACTGACCTCGATATTCCAATGACCCAGGATCAATAGCTGACCTCCACAGTCCCACCCCTTTGAACAACTCAGAGTCCCAATCACTGACCCCCGCTTATTACTCTTCATTCCCTGATCTACAAAAGTTCAATCATTAACACCATCAGATCCCCCAGTGATGATGTAAAGTCTGAATCACTGATGGTCCGAAGCCCTAATGCTCCCCAAATCAATGCCTTCTAAGAGCCCCACTTGGCCCCAGACCCATAAAAAACATTATAACTGACCACGCATCCTGCCAATCAAGACACTTCAAAGAACCTTCGTTTATTAATTCCAATACATTCGCAGAACATCTTCACAGACCCCTGACACTGACTCCTACAAACCTCCGTCCCCCAATACGGCTCCCCCCCAAGAGACTCGGAATCCAATCACAGCACAGTCCCTTCGACATTGACCCTTACAGGTACCCATAACTGATCCAGTTAGGCCACCGTAGTCCCCGGTCACCACACTGGACATATTTGACTGTTTCTCACACTGACCAGTCCCTTTTATCCTGGATCGGCGCCTTTAATCTGCAATCGCCCTACCATACACCCTCACAGTGGTATAAGCTCTTCCCATCCCTAGTGACCCGTGCGCAGCCTCAGTCGCGACTTAAGAGATTGTCAGCCTCCACCCGGTAACCTTCCAGAGAACAGGATTCTGGGGTTTCAAAGCTTTAACGGGAGGCAACGATGGCGGCGCCGGCATGATGAACACTGGATGGGGGCGGCCATTTTTAAGACTCTACCGTACAACGGATGACTAAACTCTTTGCTGGACCAGAGGATGCGGCTCTAATGGAGAGAGGAACCAAGTGCCCCCTGGGTCTCTAAACACAGAAGTCGCCCCTGCTTTGAGACAAAGACACCCAAGCCTCCTGTGACCAATATGGCGGGGCTCGGATCTCGAACCTGAACATTCTTTGTCACCGTTAGCTGGGACAATGAAGATGACCGCACATTTTTATCATTTCTCCCGTGCAACGAGTGCGGCCGTCTTTTAGGAGGAGCTCTCCTACAGCAAGATAAAACTTCCGGGGCCAGCCTTAAGACTTAGAGAGCAGCGAAGTGACTGGTTCTCAGCGAGTCTGAGGTGTTCTGGGGGAAAGGGCGTGGCTTCGCAGAGTGGGCGGGGCGGGTTAGAAGTTCTTAGCCAGTTATTGGGGGGGGGAAAATGTTGAAAGTGCGGTCTTTATCTTAGGTGGTTTGCCTCAGAACCCGACCTGAGACAAGAATGTAAAAGCAGGCAGTTAATTTGATAGGTAGAGGATGGGAAAATGAGACAGGAAGGAGGAAAATCAGTAGAATGCTGCAATGAGCACATTGCCCGTGAGCGATGTCTGTGTTCTGGAGAACCCAGAGTGGTTGTGTAGAAATCACCTCCACGTTGTCCCACCCGGGGTCGAGGAAGCCGAGACGTTTATACGCCATCTCCCCTTCCTTCTTGTTTACGAGCTACATTACAGGCGTTAAAGGTCCAGATTTTCCAGCCTGCTTCATGGGCTGTTCTCGGGAAGGGTTTGTAGGTGCATTTATTAAGAGGCCCGCGCTCTGCATCTGGAAATGGTGAGCACCCCAGGGAAGAGCTCGGGTATGGACAGCATTCTCTAGAGTCCTTCCTTGAATACCATATAAAGTAGTGTTGTGCACATCACAGGCATTGGAATATCTCTAGAAATAGTTGCTTTGCAAAAAAGGCAAGAACATTCAGGGGTGTGTGGTTTTTTTGTTTGTTTGTTTGTTTGTTTGTTTTTTGGGGGGGACTTAC